TTGAGCGGGAAGGGAAAAATGACTACAGCAGGCGATATTATGAGAAAAATGAACGGGAATTTGAGCACGAATGAAGGGATGCAGCCCTTCGCTGATTTGCATTTCAGTTTTTCTTGTGCGGATTTCCGCAATTGAGTCCATTTTTTATTCTTCAGAGGGGACTTCTCAGGCCCATTTTTTGTTAAAAAAATTGTCACGGATGGCCTCGCTTCTCCTTCAGAAAAACGAGCAACGCATGCTCGAGCAAACCAGGTCGATGATGTGCAAGAAGGTGCGAGACTCCAATTAAGATGCCGACGATTCCTTCGATTTTGGACAGAAGATCGAGTACGGTCAACTTAAGCTGTTCTGCGAAGTGAGACACCTGTCCTTGGATTGGGAACATGATAGGGATTCTTAATCGCAGGGTAGTGGGCTCGAACCCAAGGTTCTGCGTAGTTCAATGCATGGTAACTATGATTTTTCTTCGTGCTCTTGCGACCACATCTTCCTCTGAAGTCAGGCAAGACGATTATGCCTTTCGCACTATAAACAGACTAAAACGGGAGGAACTCATGAAACTATGCAGTTTTTCGCTTGAAAAGCATAGAGCCTCAGGAATAATAATGAAAATAAGTTTTTCAAGAAAGTTATTTGAAACCTGTGTTCTGATGAAACAAACCAGTATTTTAGACCTCATGGATTAAAATCATTCTGTGGTAATGGACATCGAAGGCATCTTAAGCGTTGAAGAATAAGCTATGAGTAAGCGTTTTGGTCCGCAAAACATATCCCATACAAAATATCACTTCTTTACTTGACAGGTTGACAGGTTCATGACAGGAACTTGTATTAGGGCATAAAAAGTCAATTAGTACTGGGAATAGTCCATTTCGGTGTGGTACACGTGTAACGGTGAGGTTGCTATCACAAAAAATTCCAAAACTCGTAAATTCTTATCTATCTTATAGTGATGCGGAAGATAAAACTGATCACAACACTTTTCTGAAGAAAAAGGAGAAATTCACTGAGCGGGCAAAATCAAATGTAAAAATTAAGGGGATGAAGTGTCTATTGGATGAGGTGCCACCACATTTTTGTTTCAATTTTTTCTTTTGGTTCTTGCCTTTTTGGCTTTTGCAAACGTTTCGGCGACGTTTCAAACAATGTTTATTTGTCCTACGGAATTCGGCAGAATTCCGTAGGACACCAATAACTGAGGAGATTCAGAAAAAATTCAAGCTTTGTGGTGCATACCCTCAGGGCACGGCTTTTGGCTGCATCGGCCTGTCCGAATATATTTGTGCACCAGCAAAAAGAGCAAATGGATAAAGCTGGAACATGGTATGTACCTGGTTCTCAAAGTACTGATTTCTTAAATAAAAAATGAAAATATTTTTTTTGTAAAATCCCTCAGGACCCTTTTTTTTTTGCAAAAGGCGCATTTTCCGGAATCCGTACTGATCCAATGAAAGAGGGAACTAAAGAAATGTGTAATGTGGTTCAGAAGTACCTGTTTGATTGCTGAATGCGATCCTACTTTTCAAATATGATCCGTCTGGGAGATTATGAAGAGATTTGGAGTTATGCACATAAGAAACAATCAGAGTAATTATTTCGATAAAAAAATATCAGCTTGTTCTTCTCGATACACATTTCGAGAGGCAAATACTTTCAATGCGTTTTTGCCACCTTGAAAATAACTTAATGAGTGAATCACTATGTTGGACAATGGAGCGCTGGAGCAGCGACCATAGCGAATCTGCTTGCCCTTCGTGTAAACAAACTCGCTAGTTAGTATTTACACAGGCACTTCATTCCGATTGCGAACCCTTGCTATTACCAGGACGGATGGAAGGATGTGCGAGCGAAATTTCAGCATTCTACAATCATTCTTAATGCCTTATGGTATAAACATTTAAATTGCCCTTGCAGTACCTTTGTCCTTATCGTACCTTGAAACACATCCAAGTATCCCCTAGAAGCAACACCAAATAAATTTCTGCATGAAAAACCTTTAATCTCAACTTACAATTTGTTCATAAGAAATTATAATTTCCCCCGTTGAGATGCAGAAAATTGTCAAGAAAACCCTCCACTGATGGCGATGAGTTCAATGAATGATGGAAAGCGTTCTAGTGAAAACATTTTCAAGTACCAGCAAGTGGATATGATAATTTACGTGTACCTACGCTAGTTACCCATAATACCCTACATCTAGTTTAAAATACTTGCAAGGAGTTCGAGCTCCCAAAATCCATATTTGTGTTACGTGTTTCTTGCCCACTAGGTGTCTCACACTGAGAAAGATATCAACTCCATTTCATGTCATCGATTTCGAGTCCGTGAACCATTTCGTCCGAGGAATAGAAATGCTCATGACATGAGACATGGCATTGCGAGATGGACGGTGCTGAAAATGGGGCATTAAATGGAAGGGTAAGAAATGACCATCATTCAATAGCGTCTTCTCGTCTCCACGAATGAAGGATATTGTTCGCTCCATGCGATGCATTGGCCTGAGACACATGCAGATGAGATCCAACGCCACACGTAGAGAGAGAGTCGCGACGATTCGATTAGTGATTGGAGCCTTGGATGATCTTCTTTCTGCAATAAAGCAATTTGCAGCGGATGCGTGAACAAGCCCCGTCGACCAAGTCGAAGATGGTGACGATGGAAACGCCGAGACATATTCCAACGATTCCCCCGATGTCGGAGAGGAGCTCTAGGATGGTCGTCTTTTCTTGTTCCACGAAGGTAGACACCTATCAGGATACATAGGAATCGATTCGAGCTCGTTTGTTCCCCTGATGAGGACGAATTAGGGGTTAATGAGGGAAAGGAAGATGAAACGAACCCGACGCGAGGGAAAGTTGAAGAAGAGAGTGGCAGATCCGGTATTACGAGAAAACTCAGACCCCTTGAAACCGTTCGAGTTTGGATCGGGGAAGATGTAATAGATGGACCTGTGACACCTCTTTGGACAACTGCAATTCTTTCCTATCTCGGATTCAGGATCCACGAAATATTTTCTGGCTTTCTCCAGTTCCTCGAGCATGACCTTGCTATTATTTGGATCTGAACATACAGGCTTCGTCAGGTCGACCTCCTTGGTGATCAGGATGGGGTCGAGACACGGCAGTTGTGGACGGGACTGGACCCATCCCCAGAAGCAGTTCTCCATGCACTATATGTAGAGAAGCGCCTTCAGCGTGGATATGAAGAAGTTCCTTCAGGATACCCAACGCATCTTTTAACGTATCTTATCGTCTGCTTGCCTTCGCTCACCCTGACGTAGCTATGGCCTTTATCCATGGTGCAGGGTCTTCTCCGCTTCTTCAGTTTCCTGCCGTAGTCTGAACGAATGAAGAGTTTGGCGGTGGTGTTGTTGAATACGAGTGCGTTTTCGATCGCCATTAGGCCCAAATTGCTAAATTTCTCCGCTTGTTCGTGGATGTAAACTTCGACTAGCGAGGGAATCTGCCAACGAACGAAATGCGAGATCATTTCCCCTGAATTCCCGAGGCCAACGTCCCCTTGTATCCAATTCAACGGAATGCTCCCCACCTCGTCGTGCTTGGACTTCAAGATCGACGTGAAATCGAAGATGAAATACATGGAATTATAGACGCGGTTGGTCGTCCCAGCGGGCATTTCGTCTCTCAAGGCCAGCGTGAAGCACTTGAAGATCTCTGGAGGCTTTCGCACGTCGCCGACCTCCCAGAAAGTCCGCTCGCTCCAGCTCCCTATTAAAAAGAAACAAATTCAGTAGAAAATTATTATTTTTCGAATTTCAATTGAAATCTCGATATCGTTCACCGTTGACAAGGAGGAAGATGGTTTCTCCATTGGCTGATGAAACGGACGTGAAATTTAGTCCTTCGAAGGGAGCATGGGAGATGAATTCGGTCAAGGAGACGGAGGCATTCTTGAGAGCACTGAATCGGTTATTTGAATTTCCCTGAAAAGAAGATTTCAGGGACGGTTTCGGGCAGAAGGTGAATGCCGGTGCTGGGATCTTGTCAACTATTTTGGCAATGTGAGATGTAGTGGTCGTCGAGGACACGTAATCGTCGATGAGGGAGATAACCTGCTGGTTCCGATTGGATTTTTATCTCCGATTCCCGTTGAATAGCCTAATAATGAGTAATTATGTTTAACGAACACCTACCTGACACAGAGCTATTACTAAACACACCAGGATCACGATCGCTTTGAAGACCCGCCGTCTCTTCGTTCTTCTGCTCCAGTCTTGGCGAAAGGAAACTCTTTGCCACTCTCTCAATGCGCCCATATAGGGATTGCGCATGACATCGACCTTACATTCTCCTTGGCGTTCCAGAGCTGTGACTTCTTTTGATGCCTCCTCCCTCGCCCAGCTCTCGACTTGAATGCTGTACATCCTTGTGTAGGATCCTACGATTTCATGGCACGAGTAGACACATTTAATATCCTTCTAATCAGAGAAAATGCGTTCTTTTTTACTCTTTGACACCAACTATGGAAATTCCAATTTCGCTATTCCCTTGTATCACAATGGAAAGGCTACTAAGTACTTTTACGGAAAGTTAAGAGTTTGGTTCGTATCTGGATGAAAAGCGAAAGTTGTTCAAATTGAAATAATGAATTTATTTTTTCTCTAATGAGTTTGAGGGTTTTGAACACTTAATTTTTTTCATTTCGTTTGATGCCATTAATTTTTTTCCTCAAAGCCTTGTCCTTGTCATAGTATTCTTTATTCTTCACAGTATTTCTGCCTCAAGTGAGAAGCACTGTTAAGCTGGATGCGAGTGTGTGTTTGGAGTAAAAGAACATAAGAGGGAAAAGAATGTTGAGTTTTCCAGCAAAATTCTGGACTCTCTTCCGGGGATTTTCCTCTCAAGCTATTATTTTAACCCATTTGCCAGTCAATCATCAATGTAAATTCGTCAGTAACACTTAAATGCTAATAATAATCCACTATTGCCGTCTAAGTGGAGTGATCTTGGATTTAAATCGTACCAATTGAGACACAAGTTGACTCGAGACAATCGAAACGGCGATTAAGTAAGCCAAGCGCATTTGATATCAGGCATTCAATTCGACGGCTAGGTCAGCGAATCAGTAAAATAAAAAGATATGACGTGATGGCACTGGATGGCTGGAAACTTGCCTGACGATACTCAGAAAAATTGGAATTTTCGAGAATTTAAGTTTTAGCTACGGTTGCTTTTTGCCCCCAAAAAACCTAGTCTCCAAACTTTCATGAAACACATTTTAGAGGATTTTTCATGCTGAAAAGGCAAATCTGCCATTCCAACGCACGATTTATAATGCTAAAAACAAGTCGCGTATTTTGCAGCACACGGTATTCCGCCTATGAATACAAGTCTAAACCGTTCGAAACTCAACCACTTCAAATCATTACTCAGTTGGTATTTCTGTTGCAAAATACAGTGTGTCTCTTCCCCATGCATAACCAGGAATCAAAATGAATGGACTAGACAATGAAGACCATGGGCAACAGAGGACCAGACGAGACCAGCCACGAATGCAAAATGGAAGTGAACCGTGCACTGAAAGAGTCCCACCCACGGGAAGGTGCAACGCTGCTCCTCTTTCTGGCGGAGCTTCGGTGGGAGTGGATGCATCATCTTCTGGCAGTTCCCCAATTAGCAAGAGTCTGTTTTTTCCTCATCAGCGGGACAGGGTCAACATGTTAGTGTCAATCTTATGTCCAACCCTTGTGCTTGAGGTAGTTCGTCGTTAGATTCTATCGCCTTTCGGACGATGTGTACGTATTCGCTTTGTTCCTGTACAATGAAAATGTCTTCATCTTCACGTAATTGGCCTTCGTCGGCACAAACGTTTTTGACGAGGCTATTGTGTGAGCCTTTCAAGATGGAGCAAATATATTCAAGTCATACTGTAATTGTCCCCACATGGGCCAGACCCAGGTATTGGTCTACGCTAATTTTTTGGGGATCGATTCCTAAAAACTCACGGAAGTGCTATGTTGCAGCGGGCGAAATGGCGTTCTCCTTGCGGTCGCCAGTGTCACGTTGTTCAATAGGTTAAAACGTAAATTGAAGGAATGCCGGTAGGGTGGTAACAAATATTCTGAATTAAGCCGGTGACCCACGAGATCATCTCTTCCATTGCAGACTGCTATGTGTTTCTCTCATAATTACGAGCTGGATCAATTGGAAGATGAAATCGCATGGTGGAAATGACTGAAATATCAACGAAAGGAGTTAAATTTCTAAGATTACTATGAAGAAAGTGACTCACTCGGATGTGGAAAGCTGTCGTCCTCCTTGCAGAACTTCTGCGAGAATGGGCAATTGCTTGTAGGAGGTGCACTTCATACGTGAGTCGTTAATGATAATTCGCGTCGGAGCTGCCTGCATGCTCTTCGTTCGCTGCTTCGAACAAGCCAATCCCGGCCTCTGACATCTGCGAAGCAGTTCATGTCGATTTCTTTCCGATCATTTTGCCGGGAATGTTTGCATTCGCCCTCATCATATTTGAATACAATGTCAGCATTAAAACCTATCTGTCATTCCAGGCAGTTTCTCCTCTGACGAAGGAAAAACGGGAGACGCCAAGCAATCGTGCTTGGCTTCGAAGGAAGTATTGCCAGGAAAAGGTAAACTGACTTCACTTGCTTCTAGGTTCCTGTAGTTGAGTTCGAAAAGACAGTGTGAACTGAAAAACAATCTCCATTGATAAGTTGCACGTGTATCGGTGAGATTGATTTCTCAAAAAAATAGAAAATTCATCAATCCTTCACAAGAGTCGTTATTGATCATACAATGATGCGGAAAATAAAACTGATCATAACACATTTCTGAAGAATACTGAGAAATTTTCTAACTGGACATGCTCAAATCAAGAAGAAAGAGGGAACATGTCTTTTGCACGGATGCCTCAACGTGTTTGATACTTTTATTTGCTTTTGTTTTCCGCTTTGCATATTTTTTTTTTAAATGACAAATGGCACGTTAGTTGTCGAGCACGTTATTGAACCAGGAACTTTGGTCTCGTTCCCCACGGGAACGAGACCAAAGAAGAAACTGGGGATCAAACGAACAAACTATGAGGAGTGATTCAAAAGTGTTTCCCCTGAGATATAAGGGAATGTGATAGACTGTTGAAACAGAGTTTTATTTTTCAGCATTACCCCTCTATACATCAATGCTTGCCCCATTGATGGAACATAGCTGGAAATTTCATGGTTAAAAAAATTGATTTTCCATTGTCAAATAAAAATGTTTGTACTAATTCGCTGCATTGCCATCATCGCTTGTTTTAATTCGCGATCATTTCACTGGAAGTTTTGCTCTGAATATTTATTATTGAGTAAGCTGTTTTGTTTGAATGAATACATTTCTATCAGATGAATGCTTTAAGTCGAAGTCGGGCCTTCCTTAGACGCCTCCGTGGTCGCCCAGGACACGACATGAATGCTGCACATCTTGTCAGAGGATCCTCATGATTCGTAGAACCACTAGACACGTTCTTAGTCACCAGATACATATCGATTAAAGGAGGGAACGTTTCCTGTTTGACGCCTGAAGAAAGAAATCGAAGGAATTCAACGTTCGTGAAGTTCTGGTATCACAATGGAAACGACAAAATACTTTCCCCGAAAATTTCACGAGTCTCGTTCACGTGGATGAAAAGCGAATGCCATTCAATGTGCAGTCACGATGTGCGCATCTATTTTTCATTCATGAGGTTACGTTTTAAGAGCACTGCAAAAATATTCATTTACTGTAATGCTCCGCAATGTTTTTCCTTTTCAAAACTGTGTCCTCGTCATAGTATTCTTGATCATGTACTCTATTTTCCCTCAGGTGAGAAGAGCTGCTGGTGCTGAACGCTGTGGTGTATTTAGAGCACAAGGACCGAAGAGGGTAGAGAACGGCGAGTTTCCGTTCAAATTCTAGACCTATTTCTGGGAATTCCCCTCTGCAGCCCTTCTTTTAAAAAAGGCATTTCTCAATGTAGGAACGATTCATTCGAAAGATACGACTGGACGGCTTTCTCCCGACACGGGGAAAGGCGGAATTTTCTTATGGAAGTTTCAACAGCGGCTGCTCATTACCATGAANAACCCGATTCGAAGGGAATCTGAAGGAAAGAAGAGCAAGCCCTTCCTCCTCTTCTCCAGCCCCTCGACCGCCGCGAATGATCTCGCTCGGATCCACCGAGATGTGGTACTCCGTCACGTTGCATCTCTTCGAATAGTTGCATTCCCCTGGCAGCTTCGGCATGCCTTCCTCGTCGACGACGCTCTGCAGTTCAGTGCGTTGTATAGTTTCATTCTTGATGTCTTCGCATACCGGTTTCGACAGATGGACGTCCGGGGGCAAAAGGGAGGGGACGAGACAGGATAGGTTCGAGAGGGTTTTGAACTTCTCCCAGAAACAATTCTCCATGCACTAAATAAATATTTACCGTGTTACAGTACCTAACCTAAATATACCATTTGTGCATATACGCTCATAGCTGGACTGACTGGTGTAACTGTAGTCTTCTTTCAGGGTGCACGGATTGTCCTTCTTGCTCTGTTTTTGTATGACTTCAGGCCGAATGAATATGCTGGTGGAGGTTTTGTTGAAGACCGTCACCTTCTCCGGCGCGAAAAGATACGCGTTTGTGAATTTCTCTCTCTGATCGTGGACAAAGACTTTGATCTCCGCCTGCCGAATAGAACGAAATCCTTTCCGAAATATGTCCGCTGAATTTCCTTTCCTGAAGTGTGTATACATTTTTTTTTTGGCGGACTCTGTATATCTACTATCTGGGCAGTTAGAAAAGGCCCAATGATTTCATATTTCTTTTTTTTTGCGAAAAAAACAAGGTGAAATTAATTTCTATTACATGAAGTTCTTCATTTCAAGTTTTATTTAACAAAAAAGTTGTAGAACGAGTCCCTAGTGGCTGAACAGTTTATAACTGAAAAATCACCTTCTCTACGATGACAAGACTCTTTTTGAATTTTTCTCCTCCATGCATGGTAGCCTTATTGACAGACTCTTTTCGCGAGAGGTACTTCATCATGATGGATGGTATTATCCCTGACGTTAATATTTATTATCGGGATATTGGCACGAGGGCACATGGTCCAACACGACATGACAAAGAGACGTGGTGCGACACTGGGGCTCACCAACTTTGTAAATACAGTATTTTGCCGCTAAGTGTCGGTCTTGATTTTCTCTCCCGGAAATATCCACAACTGGCTGAAGTGAAAATATTTTTTTGGAGATCGTACCAAGAGAAAATGTGTCCCCATGTTTTATTCCTCAAAATGAGGATTTTTCTTGAAGCTAACTACACTGTAAGTGCATATTTATCGAATTCCAGTGTTTTCTTTTTGCCTGTTTCACTGGAGCGATGAACTATATGTAAGTGTGCGTCAGGGGGATGTACCTTTCAATGGCTTCTGACGTACTTCAGGATTCTATCATAGCTAGAAATGCTTAGATTTAATTTCAGTCTGTCAGTCAGTCAGTCTCGATCCTCTATGAGTTTTATATTGTTCACAACTCATTTGGTGTAACGGGGAAGTCCTCCAATAACCATGATGGTCCCGATCAAGGAGATCACTTACTTTTCAAACGTGTGCATCTAGCAAATCTGGAGTAGTTCTCAAACTTTGGAGCAGTACCACTGATGAGAGAAATTCGTAATTCCGTCGGTCATAATTTGCTGCAGTGTTTTTATCTTTGCAAATATTCTATGTAATGTTCTTTGAACGACGCGAGATTACAAAAAACAGCAGGTGAAAGGGGCGGAAGATCGACTCGATGCTCCCGAGTCTATTATGCCATCATTTTACGAAGTAGCCGAAGCATCTTGAACGAGGCAGGTACGGGTCAGATCTCCGCAAAATATAATCGGGGAGAAGAA